AAATGCGATCTGTAATAGCACGACACAGTTTTGTTTCCCTAAAACCAAGGGACCTGCACAGCATCTACCACGTTTCATAATTAGTGTTTGTAGCGCCAAAATACAAAAAGCACAACGGTAAAACAATGGGGAGATGTATGCTAATTAAATGCAATCATATGGTGGGAGGTTTACCAGAAAGTTGCGTTTAGAGCAGTGTTGGGATTCAAAATTAGCTTTTAAAATTCATGCGCAAGGCTCCCATATATGTTTTTGAATGAGGAAAGTAATAAAGGAGTGGGACTGGGTTCAAATCAAATAATAAATGGAAAAGTAGTTCAAATTAGAAGTGTGCCTTGAAATGTTCTGCAGCGTGACATTTTTGCATAATGCTTTATTTTCCCCCCTTAAAATTAATGAATCCCTTTCTGACAAAAATATGGCATGAATACTTTGTTGAAATCATACAATCTTTTTAGCAGGTGGTTTTTTAAATAATCCCTCAACGAACCCGGGCTTGGGTACCTAACTTTCGAACCACAGAAGCTATATATATGCAATAAAATCCATAGTTCACGGCTCCTAAAAGTGTTAGTAACTAGTTTTAACATGCATGTCTTTTTTGGCCTGTCTCATCTTTAGATTTGCTTTTCTAAACAGCCAAGAGGCAATCGAAAAAGAGAGAACCGCCCACACTCAACCAATCTTCTCTCAAATACTGACTCACAGGGCTCTTTCCTACTAGCAGGCAAAATGTAACATGTTTTCTAACAAGGTGAGGACTCATCAATTACATTTTTTGTAGCCCTAAATCACAACAATAGTTATCTCAGAGGACTATACAAAGTGAAGTTAAATTAAATGTCTCGTGAATAATGTTATTTGAACGATCATGTATATACCTACATTATAATCTGTTTAAAAGAATAAAACATCAGCCTGCCCAGGGGACCACAGGTGGAAATTAGCACCTTTGCTATAACCTGGTACAATACATCTCTCCTTTGTGTTCATGTTTAATTGTACACTGTCCCTGCTCAAATAAAGTACATACCATACCATGTTTAGACAGTATGTTGTCTGATTTGTTTACTACATTTTACTATTGGGACAAACACGTGTGTCATTTATGAAACAAGTGCGTGTGGATGGGGAAGTCTGGGCGTCTCTGCTTAGACTGCTGACCCCGAGACCTGGCAACGGATCAAGCAGAAGAAAATGGATGGAAGGATTAAAAAAAAGTTGGGAATACTAGCTTTAAAGCCTGCATTTCTGAATATTTTAGTGGTATAATGGAAAATGATCCGTGCACATGCACGTGATGAATTTACAGCTATATTTTGTCTGTGTCGGCTCTGACCAACAAGGACCGTCAATCTGCTTCTCTGTGACCATTGTACATCGAGTGTCTTTCCCAGCGACACAACAACAGCCTGGGTTTGAGCCTTAAACCCTCACCCTCTGTTTGTTGGGCAAAAACACATCCACTCTGCCACCGCTTGATGGAAAAGCACAAAGCACAACTGTATCCCACTTTTGCATCCTCATTGAGTAAATCTCACTCTGAACACTGGCTCCTGTGTCCGCGTGAATGAGAGGACATTTTCAGAGTGGTGTCACAGAACCGGCTGGGACCGACCTGATGAGATGCAATTCTCTAAAGTGGTGGCTTTTGTCCTCTGTTTGCTCTGTGTTTACAAGAAACACGCTCTCTTCTACATCTACAATGCATTTCCAAAGAGACGGACAGATGGCTGTGCAGACAAGAGGGTGTGTTAAGCAGCCGCAGAGCTTGGAACCCATTTCTCAACTTGCTTCTTTACCAAACTTGCAACATATCACGTAACACTATGCAAATTTCACATTGCCGGGAAAGAGTAAGTCAAATCTGTTCTTGTGTGTCAGCAATTATAAAACCCTCGTGTCAGCGCCAGGCTTGAATTACAGCACGCTTTTTCTGCAAGGCGATAGGAAGGCCAATACTTTCTCTGTAATTTAATAATAACGTCGGTCAGTACGTTTACATGGAGTACAGGACAATTGGCTAAAAAGCCTGAATCTGATATAAATCAATTGTTTAAAAAGGCATGTAAACTTGAGCAGGTCGATTGAAAATGTGTTGAATTGAATATCCCAAGTTGTGTTGTGCGCAATGGTCGGTTAGTTCCAAAAGACAGCAGGAAAACTTACAAGGAATTAGCTTGAAAAAAAGAATGAACAGTTTGGCACACTAAAGCAGCATTGCTAATTGGCTTGAAGACAGCATTTAACCTCGTAGGGTCAGGACGACTGATTTGTAGGATTCTTTCTCATGCACAAGGCTTTATTTCAGGACAATTAAAGCTGGGGTACCTAACTTTAAAACTACTTAAATGGAACTATGTGGAAAATGTTTATTATTCCTCACTCACAACAGTTCACTATAGATTTCACATGCATATATTTGAAGACTGGTCAACCCAACACAAGCCCAGTCCACTGAAGGGGGCGTGGCAAATGCCTTTAAATGATTAGGTATCTATACCAAACTGCACCAAAAACTGAAAAATGTTGTAATTAATATAACATGTTGTATAAACATGTGAAATAAGTTTGACGGGGTTGAATATAAAAGTAAATGTCAAAATCTGCAGCTGCTTTGCTCCATAACATTTTTTGCAGTTTCACAATTATAATTGAAATAAAATAATTAGTTAACTGATGCAAAATTTTGTCGACTAAGGAACCATCCACTGATAAAACTTACGAACAACTTAATATGAGCCTCAGACACATCATTAGATCAGCTTTAAAGTGATTGTCTGGAGTTTGTCAGAAAGAGAGACAGAGAGGTACTTGATTTGAAAAAAACGACGCAAGCTCCCTCCCCCTTCCTTTCTGATTGGTCTACACCTACGTTTCCGTAACACTTTTAAATGTTAATCGGAGAACACATTATACATATATATTATTAATACACATGCATGGAGGTTTTCAGAATTATTTGTTAACGTTTTAATGGAAAAAAATAATGTTTTTATGCACAAAAAAAGCGGATCGCGGCAAACCGGAAGTGTTATAATCATGAATTGCACATTATAGGACACATCTGCAGACGATCTGATTATGGATATAGGTTCAGTATATACATGATTATGGATATAGGTTCAGTATATAAATGATTATGGATATAGGTTCAGTATATAAATGAGTAACTCAGCGTGGATGTTCAGAATTCTTTGTTCATTTTTCATGTAGTTCCAGAGCCTAATGGAGGCTTGATTCGGAGGCTCTGCGAAAACAGCCCTTGGCATGACTCGATTGGTTAACCTCTACGGCACCGTGGATTCTGAACTATAGCTAAGAGAAGGGAAGGCGGGACTTGCCCGTAATATTAGAATGAATAAAATGACTTATTTTATATCAACATTTAAGGCCAGGAGGTCAATTTAACACATTTCCTAAAATGTGTAATTCATTTAGAGTTACAGACTATCACTTTAAAGACAGAAAAGTGAAAAAGAGCGGACCCCCCTCACTCCAGCCAATCAAACGGTGACTCACAAGGGTCTTATGCAAAAGTTTATGTATTATAATACAATGATGGATTTGATTTGTTCACAACATTTCACAATCACAAAACTCTTCCTGGAAAACATGGATTATTTATGAAACAAAAAATGCTCGCCAGCTTTAAGCATCCACCCATGAACTTAACACTTTTGCCATTGTTCTCAGCTGCACTTTCTCTCTATATATCTCCAACTCAAACAGACCAGAAATCATTTTGACAATGACTTTGGCTCGTGCGTCCTCGGAGCATCTGTGCCGAGTTAGTGGGGCAGAGATGGATGGTCCTGTTCGCCGCGTGTGTTCCTGGACCGTGCGTGTGTGTGAGCTCTATTCCCAACAGAACTTCTTTGGGGAGAACGGGAGTCGATACTTGTGGCATGTGAAGTGAAGGCTGCTATTACTTGAGCCTCACTGACTTTCTGTTGAGTTAGAGGATAAAGGAGACCGGGAAAAACGAACTAGGTGGAAAGATTTGTGTTTTTATGGATCTAATGAAAGGAGGCAGGTTATAAATGCAGAAATGTATCTGCAGAATGAAGCTAAACTCAATAAACATGTTACAAACTAGCCATTAAACAGTCAGTAAGCCTGTAAATAGCTGTGTCAATGTATTTCAATGGTTCCTTTGCACTATTCTAGTCAAAACTGCTAAATAGTTCAACATATTCTCAAAAACAGCCAATGCAGTTGGCTCTATAACACATGAAAACAGTGAAGGCTAATTTTATATACCGTATATAACTAGAGGGGTTGAGTAGAGTGCTCTGAAGACCTCTAGTGGACATCATGTGTTATTACAACCACAAACACGTTGATCAAAACAAATGGGCAGTAATGCTTATGATACATTTGAATGCGACTCTATAAAGTTTACAAAAAGCAGCAGCAAATAATTTTTTTTTTTTCTATGTAGATTATAAAGGTGAAAAATGTCAAATTTTCAATGTGAGATATGACTCATTATACACAGTGAGATATATCAAGCCTTTCTTTGTTATAATATCAATAATTGGGCATTATTATGGCTTTTCTCTCTTTCGTTTTTAAAATTGTATTTCTCTAAACAAAAAGCCATAATCATCAAAACTGTTGTTATTACATTTGTCACTTTGCACTTTAAATATTTGAAGGATATTCCAATTTTTTGAGTTTCATCTGAAAGCATATAGACACATCTGGATAAAAAAATATTATCAATTATTAGATGTTAGTCCTTAGGCAAGACACCCTCACCCATATGTCTTGTGTGTGTGTGTGTGTGTGTTAGGATTAGGGTTAGGGTTCGTGTGTGAATGAAAGATGGAGGTCAGATCTTACCACAACCCATGCATGCAGTGGAAGAATAATAGCATTTTTTGTTCTATCGTGTGAAGGCGAGTGCCGGTTGTATGCTCAGATGATTGTCTGATTATATGTAAAAAGTAGAAAAAGTAAAATAGGTTTGCAAGACTTTGAGGTGTGGGACCCACCGTGGACTTTGCCGAGGAAGAGTGTCTTGACCAGGTTGAGCTGCGTGTCAGAGGCATCAGGGAGAGTGTAGCTCACCGTGGGGTAATGGTCCAACTGCAACACACACACGCACACACACAAACACACACACATGGGTCAGTTCACTTCAAACAGCCACACTTTACAAAGACCTGCTTCAAGGTTCACATCAGCACATTTGAGATCTGTAGTAATTCCCCAGTGCACTGTCTGTGTAATAAGAAGTGCAATGTCGCCCTCTTGTGGTGTTCAATGTAAGAGCAGTTTGATGTTGCCCTTTCCCTACTTTTTAGACCTCTACCAAAACATGCAACACAATGTCATATAGCGAGCATTTTCAACTCAAACATAAATCAGATACAAAAGTTTTTTCAGTTTTGTATTTAATGATCACTGTGAGTTTAAACTTAGCACCTCCAAACCATAATATACTATACAATATAATCTCACAATCAATATGTGTTTTGAATAAGATTGATTGCACTGAATAAAAAGGACAACAGTAAATTGTGGTTTGAAGGTGGACTCTTAAAGCTCGGGTACTTAATTTTCAGAGTGCAACAAAGTAACTTTGCAACAAAATCCATGAAACTAGTGCCTCGCACTTGTGTTAGAAATATTCGATTTTTATCAGCAGGTTTCACAAGCAAATATTTTTGGCACGTCTTTAAATCAGCTTCTTCAACCTGAAAAGTAAATGAAGACAGGCTCACCAGTTTTTATAGATTTATTTTATCTTAACTATATACAATCTACTTTTTGTTTATTTTCTCCTTTTTTCTTATTTTATAAGTAGGTAAGTAAGTAAGTAAGTATTCTTTATTTAGGGGCTGGTGTTAAGTGAATTGGGTGCAGCTCTGACTGCCACCCCCCCGACCCAGAAATGGATTAAGGGGAAGAAGATGGATGGATGGATGGTATTCTTTATTTACAGACCACCTGTCACAGATCAGAGTCACAAAGCGGTATACAATTGCTTTTTTTTGGGCATTTGTCCTCTCACTTCACACAGAGATGGGAGCGGGGTCGCCGAACAGGAGGCGCATGCCAGACCTATTGTACACGTTTTTATTGGTAGGGGAAACCGGAATACCCAGAGAAAACCTACAGAGACACGGGGAGAACATGCAAACTCCACTCAGAGAGGCCCTGTTTTGACTGGGATTCAAACCCAGGACCTTCTTGCTGAGAAGTGAAAGTGCTGTCCACTCAGCCACCCGTGCTTGCATTGTCTGTTGAATGTTTATTGGTTACTGTATGACTGCAAAAGAAAACGGATAAAATATAAAATAAAACAAATGTAATTACAGTCCTGAGCCCAAAGCATCCAACAGAGACTCACTGGGCTCTTTTTTTCTTCTGTCCAACAAGTACTCCAACATGTTTTCTCATAAGCTGCATCATGTTTTAGTGTAATTTGTTCACAACACTTTACTCTTACAACACTCTTCCTGTAAAGACAATCAACATTTTTTAGTAACAAAAAAGTTAGCTACACTGGCTCTAATAGGGCACTGTCCGGTTTCCGAAATGTGCTAAAAATAGCTCAGAAGACTGCGCATGCGCGCATGTTTCGGACAAACATTGTGTACGACTCGTTGAGTTCTACTGTGTTCTCCTCATACGCGTGTGTATTTATTTGGGCTAAATCATTGAATCATGGTGACAACAAAACACTGCAGTTATGGTGCTTGATGGTGCTATGGTGGAGTGATTTCAGATACTCTGAAAAGGACTATATGAAAGTAACATTCAACCTGTTCGTTAAACCACAACATCGGACCAGACCAGGACCAGACCAGGACCAGACCAGGACCAGATCAGACCAGGTGGGTGCTTGTGGTCGGCAGAATTTCTCTCATGAAAAGGTTAAAAAGGGCACATGTTTTTTCAAAACACTTCGCTGGACCAACTGTGGAGCATCCAGATCCAGTCCTAGCTACGTTTAGCTGGGACTGGATCTGGACCGCTGTATCAGGTCCGTCTGAGCTCTTCTGAATGTAGTTAGCACAAACTTTCTCTTTACACCATTTACCCCCATCAATCCATATTAGTATTGTTTGTCCTAATCCAGAAAGTATACAATTCTCACACCTGAAGAAAGATGAGAGGGATTTTTTTCAACTTTGTGTCTGCTTATTATACGGCTTTGTACCAATTGAACACACAAAATAAACGTCATTCACTACTCATGCCGAAAGGTTTATTTAATGAGTGCAAAGAAAATAGTTCCCAAAGGTTTTCCCGTGGCAGGCGAGTAACAGTGAGGATAGTTAACCTAAAAGCGATCGCTTTAGTCGCATTAAAAAAGTATTTTTGTCATGAAAACCTGAACAGTTAATTCTGAAAACCTCCGTGCACTTGTGTTATGAATGTGTATAATGTATTCTCCCATTAACATTTAAATATGTTGATTGATTGTCATTTGCGTTTACTGAGTGTGGCTAGCTCTGATAGTTTCTCTCAGAGACAGTGGCGTAACCCGTTGTGATCATGGATTTATTATAATATCAGCTGACTGTAGCTAACTAATGATCAAACTAATTACAAAGTGGATAGTGCAAAAACAACTTGATAAATGGAAGTTAATCACAGCAAAACAAACAAAGAAGGCGCTAGCATTGCAATTTAAATGGCTAGATAATGTTAGCATAATCCTCACCATTATCTTTTTATCAAATCAAACTTTCTACCAGTTACTGGAAGACCACGACATTCAAGCCAACGTTATAATTGGTCTACACTATGATCCCTGATGGTTTGATGGTGGAATTTTGCCCCTGGTTTATCATTTTCGTCTAAAGTGACAAGTGGTATTTGATTCATTTTGGCAGTGTTTGTCCGAAACATGTGGGCGGGAGTTGACAGACGGCGGGGGCGTGTCTTAGTGACGTCATTTAGATAGTTCGCTATTAAAAGTCCATGTACCGACAGAAAACCCACAGCTTACAACTAGAACTAATGCCACGTTGCCATTCATTTAACCTACATGCAGAAAAAAAAGAAATAATGTTCTGTGCTACCTACAGTTCAGTTCATTAAAAGAAAATGGCCGTTGTTCAAAAGCTCTCACAGACTGCACTTGTGTGTCCTTTTGCTCAAAGCTAAATCTATCCTTTAAAAATACACCCAAATAATTGAACATTAAAACGCTGTGCTTTCTGCAGCCGCACAACTTCAACACGAGACAGAGGCGGGCCAGAGTTTTTTATTAGGACGAGAGAGAGAGGGGGAGAGGGAGAGAGAGAAAGAGAGGGAGAGAGAGACAGAGAGAGAGAGAGACAGAGAGGGGGAGAACACGGCACTCATATCCTGCTACATAATTAACTTGTTATTGCTGTTCCACTAAAGATTCTAATTAGCTTGAAGGCTACAGCCAAAGCTAGTGGTGACATGAATGATTTCAAATGGCTTCATCTCTCCCCCTCTCTCTCTCCCTTCTTCTTTCTCTCTCCCTCTCCCTTCCTCTTTCTCTCTCCCTCTCTTTCTCTTTCCCTTTCTCTCCCTCTTTCTGTCTCCCTCTCTCTCCCTCTGTCTCTCTCACCCTCGCCACCCTCTCTCTCTTTCTCCATCTCTTTCTCGCTCCCTTCTCTCTCTCCTTCTCTCTCTCGCTCCCTTCTCCCTCTCTCTCCATCTCTCTTTCTGTGTGTGTTTGCACAGGTAGAAAATAAAGCTCTTTTGTCTTATTTGGTGAGAGAACTCAATCCCATGGCGCTGCCTGCCTCGCGCTGCCTGCATCACGGTGGAAAGGTTGATTGAAAACAATGACTTGCAGTTATTGAGAGTTTGTCACATTGATTGGCTGAATGGCTGTTGGGCCCTTGTGCTAAAATGTTGTCAAAGCCATTTCAGGTTTTAATGGTTTTGGGGGGTACCATTTCTTGCCTCCCCACCTCCTCTCCCCTCGCAGTTTCTATTTACACAAAGGCATATCCTAATTTGATTCACTCCAAAAGCCGGGTCTCAGAGGAGCAGAGAGCACGGTTTTGTTTTGCAGAGTGACTGGAGGTTGGGATAATGGGGCACAATTAAATTGCGCTCAGCTTATTTACTTTTATCTGAGAAAACAAATTGGCTGCGCAGTCGGGGAGGGCTGTCGAGGCAACCGCGGCTCGCACAAAAAGGTCCATGGAGGAAGAAAGCGAGGCCCGGCCGAGACAAAAAAAACATTCACCAAACTACGTCAATTACAACCTCAATTATTTGAATCCCTTTTTTCGTTTTCATTGCACTGTTTACAAAGACAATTTGGTTTTCATACCGAGGCGAGTCTCGGAGGGTGCATACAGTTTGCAACAGGGACGAAACAAAGTGAAAATTAACTACGGGTGAAATTTGGTTCTCTATAAATGTGCAATCTCATCTAAACAGGCATTAGCAAAGTAACCCTATAGGATACAAGCAAAAGGCCAAAGGAAGATAAAAAGTTAGAAATCCTCTTTTTATTATGCATTAAAGAGGTTATTAAAAAGGGTTGTAAAAGTACAGTGGAATTCTTGCTACTTCTAAAAAACACCATTATTGAGGCCATGTATTCTCTATTGTAGTCTAATAATACAGTAATGAACTATCGAGGTATGAAACGAATACAAACTTACAGAGAGCAAATACAAAAGTTAAAACTGGGTGTTCCTAACTTTGAAACCACAATAAATGTCACGATGTAATAAAATTCATGGTTACTCGCTCTCCAAGACTAGTTTTCACATGTATGTAGTTCTTGATCTCTGTCACCTCTTTGGATCAGCTTTTTCAGGAAAAAATTGGAAAAAAAGACAGGACCACCCTCACTCAGCCAATCAGAACACAGCCCAAAGTGTCAAAGAGTGACTCACGGGCTCAAGATAAAACATTTTCTAATAATATAAAGGCAGCATGGTGTGGTCTGATATTACTATTATTATGATTATTACTATTATTATGATTATTACTATTATTATGATTATCTGTAGCTACCTGATTCCCATTACACATACTACAGTGGAAGCCTTGAGGTGTCTTTTCTCATACGCATTAAATCATATTGTGGAATAGAGATGTATCTTTTGCATGATATGATATTTTGGAACAGAGTT